TAAAAAAAATAGACATATTAGAATGTCAAGAAAATGTCAGAAAAGTTAGCTGATCTTCCTAGGTCAGTAGCATTTGTTTAGGCCCTGAATACCAGACAGCTGGATCTTTAACTGGTTTTCTAAAATAACTCTCAGGCTCTTTTCTCTTGGCTCTTCTGTGGCTCTTTTTTCTTTTCCTGACTCTAATTTATCTTGCACAGTATCTCTGGACTAATCTCCCTTAGGTCCTTTTATTCTCTTAGTGTTCAAAAAATCTCCAACAGCTCCCAGTTGCCTTCCTAAACAGATTTAAACTCTTCCTGCATCTTTCTTTTTTTTCATATTCCCTGCAAGTTTTCTACCTCTCACTTAGACAAGACTATTTTCCGCTACTCCCAACTGCAGAGCTTTCTCTAGAGTGTGTATCATCATTTATTTGCACTGTGCACTTGCCTACCATCTGAACATTCCTCAAGTTGCTTCCTTTCTGAAATAACATCTTCTCTTCTTCACCAGCTGAAATCCTTCCTATCCATTCCATAAGCTTCAGCTCAAATCCTGTTATTGCCACTTTCCATATTTATTGTTTACTTTGGCTTATGCTTATTAATCCCAGCTCTAAATTCTTGTAGTGGTATTGTTTGCTCCAAGTAATTTAGAATTTAAGTTTGTTTGTTTGTTTGTTTTTAACTAACGTTAATGGGCACAAAGTCTTAAAACATCCAGAAGGTAGGAAGCTACTTGGAAGCATGAATCACATATTAAATTTTTAAATTACAGGATGGATGGTGAATGGATAGACTAAAGAGTTCTACCTCATTTCATTAAAAATGGGATTCAATTAAAATAGATATTGTACAATGAAAGAAAACAAAAGTAAGTGAAGAAACTGAATATAAAGGCAGTGTGTTATTTTCTTAGCGCTGTGATAACCAAGCATGACAAACTGGATAACTTAAAGCAACAGAAAGTTACGATCTCAGAGTTCTGGAGACCAGAATCTGAAATCAAAGTGTTAGCAGGCCCATGCTCCCATGGAGTAAAATCCTTTCTTGCCCCCTTTCTAGTTTCTGGTGCTGGCTGTCAATTCTTGGCATTACTTGGCTTGGAGTTGCATCACACTAATCTCTGCTTCTTGGGGTTCTTGAGTACTCAATCTGAGATATTTCTTTTGTCATCTGCCATTCTTAGGAGGTATTATATATTGTGTGTGAATTTGAAGAATTTCCTCTGTATTCTAAACTCACATATCTAACTTCGTACTTGAAACCTCCACTGGGATATACCACCAAAATCTATTGTTGATTATGCCCCTAAGGTAACTATTTCACTTGCCGATGTTGTTATTTCTCGCAGCACAGTTTATCTTCTAGTTCTCTCATATAGTTACTGAACATTCCTTGCCTCTCTACTCCATATGGGGGCGAGGACAAGAGGGGAGCTATCCAGCAAGCTATATTTGCCAGGCTCCCATACTAATTGGATTTAGTTTAGATAACTTTCTATGTTTTCCTGAGTTCATTTTCTATTAACATCATAACTATCAGTTATGTATATATTTTTCCTAGTAAATGTCAGATAGCTTTTTCCCCCTCTAGCTGCTTTTCATAGTATCACTTTATCTTTGATTTTCAACAGTTTGATTATATTACACTTAGGTATGTTTTTCTTTGTACTTGTCCCTCTGGAATTCACTGGCAATATCTTCCAACTAGTATGGGAAATTATCAGCCATTAGTTCTTCAAGTTTTGTTTGTGTCTTAACTCTGTGTTCTTCTGGGACCTTTTCCTGACCAATTTACATGTATCGTTCATGCTTTGTCTTTTTGTTTTGTTTTATGTTTGTCTTTGTTCTCTGTCTGTTTTACTTTTCATATATTTTCTAATGATGTATGTATGAATTCAAGATAGCATGTGTTTGGTCTCCTTTTAATCAGATCCATGAGATCCACTTGATGCTTCTTTATTTTTTAAATTGATTAATTATTTCATTGAGGTGCATTGGTTTACAACACTATGTAAGTTTCATATATACAACATTATCATTCAAATTCTATACAGACTCCACATCATACTCACCACCAAACGTCTACTTTCTGTACCTCACTATATGATTGACTTCCTTTATCGTTTCCTCCCTCTACCACTCCCCTTTCCCTCTGGTAACAACCAGTCTGTTCTCAGTATCTGCGTACTTTTGTTTTATCTGTTTTGTTTATTTATTTTTATTCCACTATGGGTGAAATCATATGGTATTTGTCTTTCTCTAATTTATTTCACTTAGCATAATACCCTTTAGGTCCATCCATGTTACCACAAATGGCAAGATTTCATATTTTTATGGCTGACTAATATTCCATTGTATATATTTATCCATTCATCTGTTGATGGGTACTTAGGTTTTTTTCATATCTTAACTACTGTAAACAATGCTGCAATGAACATAAATGTGCATATATTTTTTTGAATTAGTGTTTTTATATTCCTCAGATAAATACCCAGTAGTGGATTAGCTGAATCATATGGTAGTTCTATTCTTAATTTTTTGAAGCTTCTCTATACTGTTTCCATAATGGCTGCACCAGTTTACATTCCCACCAACAGGGTATGAAGTTTCCATTTTCTTCACATCCTCTTTAACACTTGTTTTTTCTTGTCTTTTTGATAAGAGTCATTCTCATTGTTGTGTTGATTTGAATTTCCCTAAAAATTAGTGACATTGGACATATTTTCCTGTGCCTCTTGATCATCTGTATGCCTTTGAAAAAACGTTTATTTAGATCCTCTACTCATTTTTCAATTGGGTTGTTTTTTGTTACTTAAGTTGTATGAGTTCTTTTTATATTTTAGTAATTAATCTCTTACCAGATATATGATTTACAAATATCTCCTTCTACCTAGTAGGTTACTTTTTCATTTTGTTGATGATTTTCTTTGATGTGCAGAAGCTTTTTACTTTGATGTAGTCCCATTTATTTATTTTTCCTTTTATTTCCCTTGTTGGAGGAAACAGAAACAAAAAGATATTCCTAAGACTGATGTCAAAGAATGTACTGGCTATGTTTTTGTCTAGGAGTTTTATGTCTTACATATGTTTCTTATAGGTCTTACATTCAAATCTTTAATCCATTTTGAGTTTTTTTTTTACATTTTTTATTGATTCATAATCATTTTACAGTGTTGTGTCAAATTCCAGCGTTCAGCACAATTTTTCACTCATTCATGGACATATGCACACTCATTGTCACATTTTTTTCCTCTGTGATTTATCATAACATTTTGTGTATATTTCCCTGTGCTATACAGTGTAATCTTGTTTATCTATTCTACAATTTTGAAAATTGAGTTAATTTTTGAGTGCGATTCTACTTTTGTTCTTTTGCATGTGACTGTTCAGTTTTCACAACACCATTTATTGAAGAGAATTTCTTTTCTCCATTGTATTTTCTTGGTTTCTTTGTGTTAGATTAGCTATCTATGTATATGTGGGTTTACTTATGGGCTCTAAACTCAGTTCCATTGATCTACGTCTTTGTCTACCAATGCCATGTTGTTTTGATTGCTGCAGTTTTGTAGTATAATTTGAATCAAGGAGTGTGATACCTCCAGCTTTGTTTTACTTTAATCAGTATTGTTTTGGCAATTCAAGGTCTATTGTGGTTCCAATCAAATTTTAGGATTTTTTTTGTTTTAATTCTGTGAAAAATATCATTGGGATTTTAATAGGGACTGCACTGAATCTGTAGATTGCTTTAGGTAATATGGGCATTTTAACAATGTTGATTCTTCCAATCCATGAGAATGAACTCTTTGTCCATTTCTTTGTGTCTTCTTCAATTTCTTTTAACAGTGTCTTACAGTTTTTAGTGTATAGGTCTCTCACCTCCAGTAGATCTGAATGAGGATGGAAGTGATAGAAAAAAGTAGAGAAAGTAATTTATATGTATAAATTATATATTTAGGTATATACACATATACATATACACAATGAAAACAAAAACAAGAGCAAGTAATATTAAAAACTGTAACTTAATAAAGCTTTTCTGAAGTAAGAATTATGTCTTCATATATCAGACAAAATTTTAACAAATAGCCAAAATCAAAACCTATTATGGTAAAAACTGACTTAAGCTTACAATGCTTTCACAATTAAATTGCTTTAAACAGCTTTAAAGATAATCCCAATACTTCAACTATTTTAAAGCATAAACAAAGGGGAAAAACTTCCAAATCCTTATTACAAGGTAAGTGTAATATTATAAAACTTGATAAAAATTGCACTAAGAGGATCTGCAAACTAATCATTCATGTGACTATCAGTAAAAATTTTTCATTTGTATGCTTAATATGATTGCAATAAAAACACCATATTTTAATTTTCCTAATCTAGAACATTTAATTATAATATTCATGTGAAAGGACAGATAAGCAAAAATTGAGAAATCAGTAAACGATGAAAAAGATATTCTAGACCCTCTCCCAATATGAAATGTATTTTATGTCCTTTATAATTAAGATACTGGAATATGAATGACCCAGAATAGAAAATCTGGAAATACACCTATTTGCAAGGAAAACTGAGTATATTATGAACACAGCATCAGAAATCATTGAGCAAAAAATATCATTTATAATGAGCAGTGTTGGAATACTATCATAGCCATAAGAAGAAAAAACAAGAAGATAACTTCACACAACAAGTGTCAGAAAAAAAAAAAGTGTGAATTCACCTATAAACTTGAAAGTAGGGAAAAGTCCTAACTGATTAATAAAATAGAGTCAATAAAGGGTAAAATTAATAGTATTAATTTTATAACTTTTTCAAAAACTATCTCTGACAAATAAACATTATATTCAACGAAAGACAAAACAGTAAAACCTAAATGCAATGAAAAATGTTTATGAAGTCCATCAGATCTATTCATTAATAGAATTTTAAGATACAATATATTTGTGATATAAACCAAGCCAGATATTCAGATGTATCCTAAAGATATTTTAAAGATAAGAAGAAATGCAAGGTGTCACTTCAGCAGCACACATACTAAAATCGGAATGATACAGAGAAGATTAGTACGGACCCTGTGCAGAAATGATACGTAAATTAGTAAAGCATTCTGTATTTTTCTGTATACTTAAAAATGATTAAAATAGTAATTTTATGTTATATATTTTACCATAATAAAAATAGATATCAAAATATAAGTGAAAAAATTAAAATAATAGGATAAGTAAAAAGCACGAGGACACTAAACTTTTTCAGTCTTCTCAATTTCAGTAAAAATGTTGGTATTAGTATCATTCTGAGTTCATATGTATACTAAAAAATATTTAAATCTAGCTGGTTAGATTAGTCTCAATAAAAACAGAATAGACTAGACATGATGTACCTCTTGATGTGTTGCAGTAGGAAGCTCACAACTCCTCCTATTTATCAAAAAATGAAATAAATTTCATCAGCCTTCTGAAATGTAACCATTTTCTTACAGGAAGTAAAGTAGTGTGTAGACCATCTTAAGTGAAACAAAAGAGTACAATAAGCAAAATCCAAAAGGTGCAAAATTATTATACAATCAATGCCCTTGTTTTCTTTATTGAATACATTATAAGAAAAAAGATGGGAAGTTTATAAAATAAAAGCAATTTAAACTATACCAAAAAAAGCAGTATAAACTTTGTTTCCTGATTCAAACAACTGATTGTAAATCAAAAATACTGTAAGATATTGGAGGAAATGTGAATCCTGTGTATTTTGTAACATTAAATGAATTATACTTCAATTACTTTAGGAGAAATGATAAAATATTGGAATAATGATTTTTAAAGTGTCTTTTATACATACATATGAAGGATCTTTGGATGCAACCTAATTGTTATCTAGGATTTGACAAAAAATATCCAGGCTGAGGTGTGGGATGGCGATTAGATTTAGACTTGGAGAAAAATTGATTGTTTTGCAACTGGATTTTGGATCCATGTGGGCTCATTATGTTCCTTTATTCTTTTAAATATTTGTACTGTTCCATAGCATTTTTATGAAGTACGAGCACTAATATCACAGACAAAAAGTAGTGAATGAAAAGCATCCTTTCAAATTATTTACATGGCTGTGAATAAGAAAGAACAATGAGAGAGAACCTAAGCTTATTATGCTCTGTTTATCTTCTTTTAAACTCTTCATTGCTTCAACCCACTTTCCATCGAGCTTATGCTTTCCTATTTTAAAGTGCATATGGCTAGATGTACATGAAATTGTTAACCAAAAATAGTTGGTCAAATTCTTTTTTATAAAGTAGCATGCCTTGGCTTTTTTTTTTTAAACATAATCTTAAGGATTAGACATTAAATGCCAAGTACTTTTTAAAGTATTTTTGCTATTTACTCTTCACCTGGGAGAAATGTGACCTCATTCCATGTTCTAAATAACACAATAGTGCCCTAGTGATTAGTGTATTAAGACAGATGGAAGGAAAACACATGGCTTTGCACTTTTAACAACCTGCTCAATATTAACCAGTTACCAAGGCATTTAAAAGCAAAGCATAAAAAATTCAATTGATTAAGCATGCTGGGCAATAAATTAAACAAAATCTGTATTTATGTTACTAATACGGAAGTAACAGTCTTTTATTTTGAGTGACAGCCACCACAGTCAAGGTTTAGAACACTCCCATCCCCCCAAAATTCTTCTTATGTCCCTTAGCAGTCAATCCCTGCCCCCACACTTGCTTCTAAATAATCACTGATCTGCCAGAAAACAAACTATGTTTTTTCCTTTTCTAGAATTTCACATAACCTATATACAAAGCCATAGAGTATGTAGTCTTTAGTAAGTGGCTTCTTTTACATAAGTGCTGACTATGCAGTACTGGGAAACTTGGCTGTATCATTCCTGAGTGGCTTCTAGATATAATAGAGAAAGCACTGAAAAATAAGGCAGAAGACCTCACTTCTCTCTCTCCTGCCCCAATCTGTGAACTGAGATATATTTTAATTTCTTTCACTCAGCAACAGTAAGATGAGAATAGTACCATTTAGTTTTCTTCAAGGCTGCTATGTTAGATCTGATTAGAGAGAGCGTGTAAAATGCTTTCTAAAATGTGATACACTACACAGGTGTATTCAGAAGAAAAGAATATCAGAAATAAGAGAAATGACAGCTTTTTTAAAAGATACTATTAACGATGAGTAAATGTATATTAAAATATAAAGTTTTCAAATTCAATTTTTTCATTGTGGCAATGGGAATAAAATGGAGGGAAACTGGATTTTTATGAAATTTGAGTAAAACAGAAAAAAGTAAAACAAGAATTATAAAAAAGGAGCACTATTAAGCCTATATATAAATAAAAATAGCTAGCTTTAGAAATAAACTGTATTATTTTAATTATTTTCTTCATCAACATCAAGAATTTATTCTACATAGGACACATTATTTGCCAAAGTTATATTTATCAAATAGAGCATATAATTCTCATCTTCAAGTTTCATCTACTTTCCCTGTTAACATTGGAAAGGGGCAAATAAAATGGCTTTAAAATGAAGTTAAAGGACAAGGGAAGAAACTGTTCCTCCAAATTAAACTGTAAACATTATGTGAATGTTGACATTTCTAACTTAATGAGGAAAAAAAATAGTTTTTTTTTCTATTAGTTTTATTTGTTTGTTTGATCTAATGCCAAGAAGATGAAGTAAAGTAGATTGCCCTCCCCATTGTGGATGGGCATCTTCTAATCCACTGAGGGACTGCATGGAACTGAATGGCAGAGGAAGGGAGGATATGTTCTTTGTGATCAACTGCTCGGCTGGAATATCATTCTGCCTCTGCCCTGTGACTCGGAATTACAACTTTGTCTTCTTCAGACTCAGTGAATTACGCAGCTGGCCTCCCTGGGGCTCCAGTTTGTAGACAGAAGACTGTGGAACTTCTCAGCCCCCATACCTCTGAGCCAGTAAGCCAATTTCTTATAGTAAATTGATAAATCAATCTCTCTCTTTCTCTCTCACAATCTTTATCTATTTCTTTATCTTTATCTGTATCTATATCCATATGTTCTACTTGTTCTGTTTCTCTGAAGAACCTTAACTGATAGAACATTCATTCATACCAGTATCTTAAAAGAGAAAAAAAAATTACTCATTCAAAAAAATTTTATAAAATTAAACATACATTTTTGGCAGAATTTCTCCACAAAGTATAGATATTCTTACCTTATGAATAAAAAGTACCTATTAATAACTAGAGCTAACATCAGACCTTGTTGTTAAGAACTAAATAGTTTCCCTCTGTGGGTAAGTCCAAAACAAGAATTTCTATTCATATCACTGCTGTCTTTCAGTATATATACCAGTGCAATGAGACAAAAGAAATACCAGGCATATAGATTGGAAAGTAAGAAAATAGTGTTTATTCGTAGAAGCCATCATTATCTACATAGAAAATCCCGAAGAAACTACTAAAATAAGTGAGTTTAGTTGGTTACAGATAACAAAATCAGCATGCTAAAATCAATTATCTTTAAATATACTAGCAATAAAAATAGATGTTGAAATTTTAAACATACCGTTTAGAATACCACTAAAAATATGAAATAGGTTTAAATCTAAAAATATGGGCACAATTTGTATAATAAAAAATATACCACATTGTTAACACATATCCTAAGTAAATGGAAAGATATATCATGTTAATTAATTGGAAGATTCAAAATTACCAAGATGTAACTTCTTTTCCAATTGATCTGTAGACTGAACACAACCCCAAAGAAAATCCTAGAAGCTGATTATATCTTTGAGGAAATCTATAAGCTGATTCTAAACCTACATGGAAAAGCAGAAGATAGAAAAATTGCCAAAACAATTTTGAATAATGAAAGCAAAATTGGGAGACTCACACTACCAGATTTCAAGATTTTCTATATAGCTATAGTAATCATACAGTGTGGTATTAGTGAAATGATAGTCACATAATTATGAAACAGAATAAAATGACAGAAATAGATCCACATGAATATGAGCTAATAGTTTTGACAAAGTTGGAAATGTAATTCAGTAGAGAAATACTTTCTCCATTCAATTAGTGGTGTTGAAACTATTACACATCCATGTGCAAGGGAAAATATAAATGTAAAAGTAAAATGAAAAACTTCTTTCTAGAAGAAAGCATAGGAGAAAATCTCTATGAATTTGAGATAGACCATTGTTTATATAGAACATATATAAAACCTTCTCTTTGCAGAACAGCATTAAAAAAAAAAGGCAAACCATATAGTAGAGAAAACATTTTCCAAGTACATTCAATAAAGTGCCAATAATCAGAATATACAAACAAATCTGGAAAATCACTAAAAAAAAAAGAAATAATATGGATATGATATATGAAAAGATGATTTGGTCCAGAAAAGATACAGATTTAATATAAGCACATGTAATGATGTTCACTATCATTAATCATTAGGCAAATGTAAATTAAAACCACAGTGAAAGACTATAACACATCTGATCAAATGGTAAAAAGAAGAAAAACAAAGACCTGACAAGAGCAAGTGCTAGCAAGGAGGCAGAGCAGCTAGAATTCTAATAAAGCATATACTAGATGCAAAGGAAATTAAGACATATGTTTACAGAAATGCCTGCATGCACACATTTATAGTCATTTTATTCATATGCACCAAAATCTGAAAAATAGCTAAATGTCCATCAACTGCTTAATGATAAAAATTGCATGTCTATATAACATTCAACTTAAAAAAAAGGAATGTGCTATTATTATCCACACTATGACACAGATGAAACTCAAAAGCAATCTCTTAAGTGAACTTAGGAAAAGACTCAAACGGATGCATTCCCCAGACAAAGGTTTATTTGGGAATGTTATCTCAGGGAGCAAAATTTTGAGATGTTTTGGACTGGGGACACAAGGGTGCTGTGTCCCAATATAAAGCATTATTACATTGGCTGCCTGTATTGACGATTGGCATTGATAAGGCAGTACTATCAGATAGATCTGTCTTCACCTGGGACATAGGGAAGGCATTTTATGTACTGTTTCCCTTCCCTCATTGGCCAAGGATCGTTCCAAGGAAGTTAATGCCCTGAAGTTTGAGTGATTTGTAAATGAGTCCCAG